CTGCAGTTTTAGTTGAGATTTCATCAAAGTGAAATCTCACAATATTGCTCATTAACCTCCCTGGCGGTATGATTCTTTCCGATTTTTGGTGCTGAAAGCGGTACCATTTTTTTTGCATGGAAATATGTAGTTTTTTTATTGTCGGCCTGTAATTTTTAGGAATAACTCACTGAAATCTGTTCAAACAAGAGTCTAGTAAACATCCCGGGTAGGATAAAATTTGAAACACGAAATCATAAATTATAATTTAATAAATACTCATAAAAAATAATAATATAATAATACATTTAATTCAATAATATAATCAAACCAAAAACACTGAAATGTGAAATATAGCGCCAAGTTCGCACATCGCTGAGCTCAGTCGCAAAATCTTTTTCAGTGTCTGATGACGAATTTACCCCAAGAATCAATATCACTCAATTCTGCAAGTGGTTCTGATTTACTATCGCTGTTCTCTAGCCGGTCTAAAACCGCTTTTGACCTAAAAGGACGCTTTTTGGACGCCATGGGCGTTTCTCAGTTTCCAGGCAGAAAGAACAGTAAAAATGCAGGCAGGGCGCCGGACAAAGCACTCGGGACAAAATGTATGTGAAATTGGTTGAGACAGCAATGTTTTACTATGTAAAATGTAAAAAAAAAAAAATGACATTCTTTAAAATTTCCCGCCGCCTGCGGCGGCGGCGCCCGTACGTCCCGACCTCACAGGGACAGGACACAGAAGCCGGATGCCGGCATCGGCCGGAGGAGATGGCCGGGGATGCTGCAGGGGACACATCGCGGGAGCGCAGGGTAAGGTAAGTGAAGAACAAATGCCGGAGCAGTGCCGCATGGTATTCCCGAGTGTAGCTCGGGGTTACCGCTCTTGGTACTGAAATGTTACCCCGAGCTACACTCGGGAATACCGCTAAGGAGGTTAATAATTATTATATAGAAATCTTTCTAAGTTGCTAAGTGGTTAGAACTTCTGCCTGGCAGCATTAGGGTTGTTGGTTCAAATCCCAACCATGGCACCACCTGCCTGGAGTTTGCATGTTCTCCCTGTGCCTGTGTGGGATTCCTCCGGGCACTGCAGTTTCCTCCCACACTCCAAAGACATGCTGGAAGGGTAATTGGCTCCTGTCTAAACAGTCCCTAGGATGTGTATATATGAATGTGAGTTAGGGACCTTAGATTGTACGCCCCTTGAGGTTTAGGGACTGATGTGAACAGGGTCGTGGATAAGGGGGTACCACCAGTCCTCCTGTATCGGGCCCAGGCCAGCAGGAGGGACCCAGGCAGTTGGGTGAATTGCATGTGGATAGGGAGGGTAATCGAAATGTCGGAGGGCAATTTCTGGAACCGATCCCCTGTATGGCTCTCTGCAGCAGCTGAAAGCTGGCTTCTACTCCCCTCCCTAACTGCTGCTGCAGAGAGAGCCATACAGGGGATCGGTCCCCCCCCCCGCCCCCATCACCCTCCTTGTGCACCATGTTTCCCCCTGTTGCCCAGGCCCCCCCTGTGTACCCCCACAGCACTGTTGACTTCCCTCCTCTCATTCCCACTGGCAGCTGCAAGCACACAGTAAGATCCTTCAGGGTGGAGAGTGGGGGAAGGGTCCAGTAAATATATCACATTTACCAGCCCCTTCCTTTCCTGAATGAACACAATGACTGTTCGGTACCGATCACTCACTGTGTTCATTTATAAATGAAGCATACGAAACTGTGTTTTTTTTTGGAGGGAGGGGGGCCCTGTCAGGTTTGCTGTATGGGGCCCCATGGTTTGTAACAGCAGCCCTGGATGTGAATGTACAATATATATGTAAAGCACTGTGTAAATTGACGGCGCTATATAAGTACCTGAAATAAATAATTTTAAAAAAATCTATATTTGTATCTTTTCAAATCCTTCCACCTCCAGTCAATCTAAGAAAGTTTGAGTGTAGTGCAGGGTTTCTCAACCAGGGTTCCATGGGTTCCTAGGGTTCTTCCAGAGGTTGCTAAGGGTTCCTTGAGCAATAAACAATTTCTTCTTCTCAGATAGGTTTCCAGTGACACCATTGATATTTTTATTTATCAGTAAGGGGGGTAATTCTTCCCAATGACCACAGGTGTGAGGAGCATTCTTCTCATTGATCATCACACTAATGTATCAGGAGTTGTAGGTATACTCATTTTTAGTAGGGGTTCCCTGAGACCAGAAGGCTTTTTAAAGGGTTCCTCCATGTTCAAAAGGTTGAGAAAGCCTGGTGTAGTGTTTGTGATTCCAAAGGTGTGTCTCATTGGATGGATTAAATTAAATTACCTGTAGTTTAATGCGGGGTCCAAAGGTCCATTGACATACCCTCTTGAAACAGTGCCATCTCCCACATAGACATTAATCGTATTCAATTGGTCATCTTTCTGCATATTCTGAGGCTCAAGGACAGAGGTCACGTAAGTCCTGGTCAGCCCGTTCTTGAAATCATTATAATTCTTTGATAAAAACCCTTTAGTTGGTTTGTTGCCTGTAAGATAAAAAAAAAAAAAGAATAACCAATGAGATAGAATGACAATTGACAAACGAAGATATGCTCAACACCAACATGATATTTTCTATATTTGATAGATTTACACTGAAAAAAAAAAAACGTTATGCTCATTTAATGTCTTTTATTAAAAGGGAATGTTTAATGATTATGCTTTCCCTGTAAGCAACAATTGGTTTTGTTTAACTACTTCACTATGGTGACACTGTACTGCTAGGGTGACAGTATGTAAAAAAAAAAAAATAATATAAAAAAGAAATAAATAAATAATAATTTTATAAAATTATAATATTTGGTTATAAACTACTTTGTATAACAAATAAAGATCAAAGTGACTAGTGCTTATATCCTCCAATGGCTAGGGTGCCTCCTCACCACCCTTCACTCGACCCCTAGGGGCCACAAATCATATAATGATGTACCACCATGATTGGACTCTCAATCATCAAGATAAACCTTGTCGCCTGATCTGTACTTGGAGCATGTGAGTGGTTTATCTGGTTTTTACATCTAATAAACAAGCATATTGCACTATGGAAGTTTTTCTTTTTGTTTATTCTTCCATGGCCCTGAAATTTCATTGCTGAGTCTTCCCATTCCTAAATAAATGGTTGAGTGGATATCGGTGTGTTAGAGGAGTTGTTGTGGAGCCATTGGGACAAGGTTTATCTTGATGAATGAGAGTCCAATCAGGGTGGAACATCGTTATATGATTTGTGGCCCCTAGGGGTCGAGTGAAGGAGGTGAGGAGGCACCCTAGTCATTGGAGGATATAAGCACTAGAGTGACACCTTGATATGAGCACAGATTTATATATATATATATAAAAACTAATTTGGGTTCTTTTTTTTTTTACTAAAAAGATAAAACTGAATAGATTTTGGCCAAGATTTATGAAGAAAGATTATTTATTTGCAAAATGTTATAAGAAAAACACTTTTAATTTTCAACATTTTTGGACTTTTTCATTTATATAGCAAAAAATAAGAATCCCAGTGGTGAAATAAACACCACTAATGGTTGTGCTTTACTGATTCTTCTCACAAGTCTGAGTCCACTGACTCACTAAAAACCAATGCACTCCCTATCTATAACATCACAGCTCAACAACAGTTTATGTAAATTAAAATCAGGCAACCTTATCCTTCAAAAAACGTCAGTTTACATTATATAGCAATTAAATGGACATTCTAAACTTTTTGTCTGGACTCCCCTTGTCATTCTTCTCACTTTAGGGCTGTGGGGGAGGTCCAAATTGGAGTTGTTTCCATTCATAAATTACAACCCGTAGTGACACCATCTATAGGGTTGATTTACTAAAGACAATTAGACTGTGCACTCTGCAAGTGCAGTTCCTCCAGAGTTTAGTAAATGAGCAGAAGCTCTGCTGACTTCCATCATCCAATCATGTGCAAGCAAACATGTTGTTTTGTTTATTTTCCTTGCATGTGATTGGGTATTCTTTGCAAAGAGAAGCTGTACTTCATTTACTAAGCACTGGAGCAACTGCACTTGCACTTTGGGAAGTGCACAGTCTATTTGCCTTTAGTAAATCAATCCAAAGTACCATTTTAGCCACTTCCTGTTAGGCTACACTGTCTTGGCCCTGCCCACTAGGGCACATCATGAGCTAACATAAGAATGCTGCAGAGAGCAGCATAATGTAAACCTGGCCACTCAAATCCACCTCCAGGGTCAGTAGAGAAGAAGACCAGTAATATCATACAATGGAACCAAAGTCCCATGGAAAAATGATATATCCATAAACTCACCACCCACTTTATTGGGTACAGTTGTTCAATTGCTTGGTAACGGAAATTGCTAATCAGCCATTCACATGGCAGCAACTTCATGCATTTAGGCATATAGACGTTGTGAGGACAACTTGCTGAAGTTCAAACCAAGCATCAGAATGGAGAATAAAGGAGAATTGCATGACTTTTGAACATGGCATGGTTGTTGGTGCCAGATGGGCTGGTCTGAGTATTTAAAAAACTGCTGATCTACTGTAATTTTCACGCACAACCATCTCTAGAGATTGCAGAGAATGGAGCAAAAAAAAAAATTAGAAAATATCCAGTGAGCGGCAATTGTATAGACAAAAATTAATTATTGATATCAGACGTCAGAGGAGAATGGGCAGACTGGTTCAAGATGATATAAAGGCAACAGTAACTCAAATAGCCACTGGTTACAACCAAGGTATGCAGAATACCATCTCTGAACACACAACACGTCCAACCTTGAAACAGATGGGTTACAGCAGCAGAAGACCACACCAGGTGGTCTGATGGCTACTTCCAGCAGGATTATGCACCATGTCACAAAGCTCAAATCATCTCAAACTGATTTATTGAACATGACAATAAGTTCACGACACTTTCTCCACACCCAGTCAAGCAGTGGTTAACCCTTATCATGCCTGGACCAGCCAGGTCTGTGCCGGCGCCAAAGAAGGGCTCCAAGAAAGCCGTGACCAAGAGCCCGAAGGATGGCAAGAAGCGGAGGAAGACTAGGAAGGAGAGTTTATGCCATCTACGTGTACAAGGTGCTCAAGTGGGTCCACCCTGACACTGGAATCTCGTCCAAAGCTATGAGCATCATGGACTCCTTCGTCAATGACTTCTTCGACCGCCAACTGCCTCCTCCTGCCCAGAGAAAAAAAAAAATGACCATCATACTCCAATGGCCTCCACAGCCACCAGATCTCCATCCAACAGAGCACCTTTGGGATGTGGTGGAATGGGAGATTTGCATCATGGATGTGCAGCTGACAAATCTGCAGCAACGGCTTGATACTATCATGTCAATATGGACCAAAATCTTTGAGGAATGTTTCCAACACCTTGTTGAATCTATACCACACGAAGAATGAAGGCAGTTCTGAAGACAAAAGGGGGTCCAACTATACCAATACAATTATCAAACACTCAAGACATAAGGCTCTGAGCTTCTTGTTTTTTGGGGAATAGGTTTTATAGTCAGTTGGTGCAATATTATATAAAGAGGTCAAACATTTAAAATGCATGTATTTCATTTGTTCGATTTTTTTGCAGTTTTGCTGTCAGTTAGGATGATTCTATTAAGATTGCTTTTCCTACCACTAAAGTCAGTTGACATGATGATGGCATAAGCCACTATGGATCCAAATGAAGTGTCAGCACTTTGGAAGGTGATGTTCATAGAATCTCCTGAAGATGAGCAAACCATCTGCACACTGCCTGGTTTCTCTGCAGGACCTGAAAAATAATTCAGCATCAGGATCAAATCTCCATTTACAGCGTAAGTTAAAGGGTATATATAAAAATGGAATTTATGCAGCAATTTGTATGTGGCCGTAACTTTGCAGTTTTTGTTGTCTAAGTGTGGGCTAAATAGACAAGAAGCAGTCTGTGGCTAGTACTAACATTGTGTTCCACTTGTAATGTTGTATTATTAGCTGTTGCTCCTAACCAGGGGCGGTCTTACAACTCATGGGGCCCCGGGCAATAGGGGATCATGGGGCCCCTGTGTCCTTGCCCAAACTCAAAAAAGCCAATGAAAAAGGTACCAGGGGCATCTCATGGGCCCCCAACTAACCCTGGGCCCTCGGGCAGTGCCAAGTTTCCAAATGGTCAGTCCGCCCCTGCTCCTAACAGTAGATCCACTTCCTTCAACAGGGTGACAAGGCTAATTGTTGTATAGTGAAATCTTGCAGCAGCATTGTCACCATGTGGGTGGGGAAGTTTTAGACGAACAAGCAAATTGCAACAAATGAAAGGCCCAATTGCAAGTTCCACTTTTTTCAAACAGTTGCAGTAATTGAAAATAAATTGTAGCTGAAAGTAGAAAAATCTCTTTAGTTTAGACAGATCTGGTGCTTTGGTATCTTTGGGCTTTGACTGTCCCCACATCTAAGCTGTAATTAGTCTCAGAGGACAAGCAGTGTCCTCCACCACCATTTGTGGATGTCCTCTTTAGGGCTGATAGACAGTACGGGGTTTATTTACTAAAGCTGGAGAGTCCAAAATCAGACTCCCTTCTGCATAGAAACCAATCAGCTTCTAACCTCAGCTTGTTCAATGAAGCTTTTGGCAATGAAACCTGGAAGCTGATTGGTTTCTATGCAGAAGGGAGTCTGATTTTGGACTCTCCAGCATTAGTAAATAAACCCCTACATGTCATTCAGCCCCTTCCTCTCAACCTCTTCCAAACTGCGGCCTGGGGGCCAGATGTGGCCCTTTTGCTTGCTTTTATCTAGCCCTTGGGGCACTTTTTCCCCCACTGTCAGCAACAGTGGGGAATAGTTCCTGTAATAATGGGGAACTAATCCTCTCACTGACACTAATGATGGAATCATTTTCCTTCCATTGATACCAATGATGTGGCACTATTCTTCCAATTGTTACCAATGATGGGGCACTATTCTTCCAATTGATACCAATGATGGGGCACTACTCTTCCAATTGATACCAATGATGGGGCACCTATTCTTCCAGTTGATACCAATGATGGGGCACTATTCCTCCCACCGACACCAATGATGGGGCACTACTACTCCCACTGATACCAATGATGGGGCACTATTCCTCCCACTGATACCAATGATGGGGCACAGCACTGAGCAAACCCTTTGGCGCTATATAAATACTGTATAATAATAATATTAATAATTCCTCCCACTGACACTAGCAGTGGGGCATTGTTTCTCCCATTTATACCAATGGTGGGGAACTATTCTTTCCATTGATACCGATGAGGTGGACACTAACTCTCCCACTGACCACCAATGATGGACACTAACTCTCCCATGATACCAATGATGAGGACATTATTTCTCACACTGACACCAATGATGGGGCACTATTCCTTCCACTGACAACAATGATGGAGCATGATTCCTCCCCTTAATGCGGCAATTGTTTACTACCACTGACGCCAAAAAAAGTTTTTCCTCCACTGGCCACAGTCTTTGCTCCTCTAAGTTTGAAGGACAGTAAACTGGCCCTTTTTTCAAAAAAGTTTGGAGACCCCTGCTCTAAGCCAAAGCTCTTATGGATCCATTCAATGAGGGTACATCATTGCTACAACCCGAGCTAATTGAACAGAGCACTCATTTCATTAGGCAAGTGGGAATCAATGTTGCAGTTAGGACCACCCAATAACCCATGGCCGTGCATGAGAAGAATGAACCCAAATCATCACCAGACTGTCCAGAAGACTGATGGAATTTAAGGTACATATTAAAGGATTTTTAAGGAACGGGGTAGGAAAGGACTTGGGGCAGGAGGCTGCAATTGTTAGGATATAAGTGATAAACCATAGAATGTATAGCACAAATAGAAAATTTGAAAAATGTAAACTGTGAAAACAGTACATTAAGTGTATACCTGTTTCAAAAGTAGAAGAAGTTGTTGAAACAGAACCAGAGAAACTGGTAAGAGTTGCTGTTGATTGATCTTCATTGACAGTGCCTGTGACTGATCATAGTTGATACTGCTAAAGCCTACTACGTAGACCCTGAAAGCCAAGAGGACCATTGCCCATCTTATTATTAGGAATAAATTATTTTAGAGCAAATGTAACAACTACACTAAAATTTCAGCATTTAACCAACATATTTACCATGCAGACTTCTTCAATGCCAAAAAAACTTAGAGTTTTTCTTCTAGGAAAGCCATGTGATCCCAGTCATCCCAGTGATGACTTCAAGATCAATGGCTTTGTTGACAAAGCCAAACCCAGCAAAAATAATTAACCCAATGCCAACCCTCTGATAAACAAAGCCATATGATCACCAACGCCATTACTGTAACGTAATGTGGGGTCCAATGGTCCATTGGTGTATCCCTTGAAACAGTGCCATCTCCCACACTTATTCTTATTCAATTGGTCAGCTTTCTGGATATTCTGCTGCTCAATGACAGAGGTCACATAAGTCCTGGTCAAACCATTCTTGAAATCATTATATGTCTTTGCTAAAAACCCTTTAGTTGGTTTGTTGCCTAAAAAAGAAAAAACCAATGGATAGCATGACATATTACTAATGAAAATACCAACACCAAAATTATGTTTTCTATTTTTGGTAGATTGTGTCTTTCTTTTTCTTTCTTTCTTTCTTTCTTTTTAAAAAGTTACATAGTTAGTCTAGCTGAAAAAAGACAAGTCCATCTAGTTCCACCATAGAAAAAAGATGTTTTCTATTTTTGGTAGACTCTTTCTTTTTTCTTTCTTTCTTTCTTTCTTTCTTTCTTTCTTTCTTTCTTTCTTTCTTTCTAACTTTCTCTTTCCTCTTATTTTAACTTGTTTCTGTTTTTTTAAACGGTATGATCTCAAAATGTTTTACAATTACTTGTAAAAAACTATATTGTTTTTGTATAAGTACGTATGTGTACTATATGCATTTTTGGTAGATTGTGTCCTTTTTCTTTCTTTCTTTCTTTTTACAAAGTTACATAGTTAGTCTACCTGAAAAAGACAAAGTCCCATCTTAGTTCCACCATAGAAAAAATATGTTTTCTATTTTTGGTAGACTCTTTCTTTCTTTCTTTCTCTTTCTTTCTTTTATTTTAACTTGTTCTGTTTTTTTAAACGGTATGCTAAATGTTTTACAATTCCTTGTAAAACTAAATTGTTTTTGTTTAAATAAGGCTATCAGTATTAGTTTACATTAGTTTGCATTATATACCTAGATCTGCTTTCTGCTTTGCTGGGCGTTCAAGTCAAACCAGGACTTTTAGTTTTACAGGTATAAAAAGAGATGTCCGATCCATTATGCTCCCCACATTACCGTGCAGATCCGATCCAACCTAACCCATTGTGGGGAATCGTCGGCATGCAACCTATACGGGGGTGACACCGGACCCGCTCCACGAAAAAAGTAAGTTGTAAAGAAAGCCTATGATCCCCACAGGATGGATCGAATCCATCCTGCGGGGGATCGTCAGCTTGCTTTACAACTTACTTTTTCGTGGACCGGGTCTGGTGTCACCCCGTGCGGTGGGTGTCACCTGGAGCAGCATGCACCCCCCCCGAACCTGCCTTGGGGACGCCACTGCTCTACACTGACTCAGGAGAACACCCAAAAACATGTACAGCGAAGGCTGTCAACCACCTGTTGTGTGCTGGAGAGGGGATATGGCTGTCCCTTGGAATTCCCCGGTGTCGGGATTATTTGATCAGAAGTGACTAAGGTAGATAGCAGAGGGAGGAGAGAGAAATCATACTCGGTGCTTTAGATTTAAGGCAAGTACACTACTATATAAGGATATGCTTTGTTCAGTTTTCATTTCAGAGGTTTACAACCACTTTAATGCTCTAAAGTGTAAATCCGGTTTCCCCCCATAATACAGAAATCAAGCATTTAAAATGCATACTTTTCATTTTCTCAGTTTAACAGTTATGTTGCTATTTAATATACGATCTGTTGAATGCACTGTTCCTAACCATTGAAATCATGTTGTCATGATGATGGCATAAGCCACTATGGTTCCATATGAAGTGTCA